AAGGACACAAAACACCTTTAAAATGTTTCAGAGTTGATAGGCTCATTTTGATTTTGTAATAATCAGTGCTAAGTATTCTTTGCATAAATATATAATATAAAATGGCAGAAGTACATTTAGGGACATTTCAAAAACTGTTGGAAATTTTGTCCTAATTCCAAACCAATATTTATGAAACTCAAGTCAGCAACTCAAACACAATCATTCTGGGACTGGAGAGATGGCTCAGGAGTTAAGAGCACTGGCTGCTCTTACAGAGGACTGGAGTTTGATTTCCAACACCCATATGGCAGTTAACGACCATTTGTAACTCCAGTTTCAGGGGATCCAACATCCTCTCTGACCTCCACGGGCACAGCACGGCACAGGCACACCTACCTACCTGCAGGCAATACACTTATACACAAATAAAAATAAATAAATAAAATTTTAATTGGCAGGGCATGGTGGCGCACACCTTTAATCCCAGCACTCGGGAGGCAGAGGCAGGTGGATCTTTGTGAATTCAAGGCCAGCCTGGTCTACATAGTGAGTTCCAGGACAGCTGGGGCTACAGGGAGAACCTGTCTCAAAAAGACAAAAAAAAATTTTAAATCAATCATTCTAACATAATACAATTAAGAAATAGTTCAGTTTGACACTCGCATGGTGAGGAATGACAGTAGGAAAAATATGTTCTTTGTTTTTTACAATTAAATTATATTTCTTTAAGCTCAGAACACTGTATATAAAATAAAAACACTGCAATTCACAATTTACAATAGTCTAGAATCTGGGCCTAAGGTGTTTTAGGCAGCATTTGTTGGTGCTGCATGGCACGATGACAAGTATCATGCAAAAATGCTCATGTTGTGTGTGCAGAACCAAGGCTGCAGTGAGGTCTTGGGATGCACACAAGCCAGCCCTTCCAGAAACACCTTGCATTCGTTATATATTTTATTTTGAATTAATTTTTGGTCACTGCAATCAATAATTAAAAACCTTTTATTGTTGTCAAAATGTTTCACAACTCCCGCTTTAGTTACGCAACTCCATCCATGGTGGCAACCCATAGTTAAGATGGACTCTAGAGAGCTTCACCATGAAATGATATGCCGTCCTTCATAAGGCAATATCCACTGTCCTATTATGCTACTTAATCCTTTCCCTGCTGCCCTGTACTGCCACTTTTATCATGAGTCAGGTAACTGTATAACCTGGGGCTTTCCCTGTACTTTCTCTCCTATCACACGTTCTATCCTATCAGATGTATTCTATCCTATCATACCATTGTCTTCATTATTTCAGCATTAGACTAGGCCTTGTCAACTGATGATAAAAACAATTCTTTTAACTTTATTCTTTAAGATTGTTTTAACTATTATTGACCTGTTCCATTTTCTTATGAATTCTAAAATCAGCTTGCCCAGTTTAGGAAAAATGAACCTATTGAATTTTGTTGTTGTTGTTTTTCTAAATTGGGATTATGTTGACTCTAAAAGGTTGAAGTCTTTACAATATTAATTGTCTGGGGCTTGAGAGATGACTCAGTGGTTAAGAGCAATGACTGCTCTTGTAGAGGACCCAGGTTTGAGTTCCAGTACCCATATGGTGGCTAATGACCATCCACAACTCCAGTGCCAGGGAATCTGACGCCTTCTTCTGACCTCTTTGGGCCTTGCATGACGCAGGTGCACTTATACACATGCAGGCAATACATCATACACTTAAAAAAATAAAATAAATACAATATTGAAATGTCTACCTTGAAGTTTTATCCTTCTTAGTTGGGTATAGTTGAGAAATGAGAAGTGATTATCAGAAACTTGACAGGATCCCACTTATGGTGAAGGGTCCTATAATTCTACCTGTCAGTGGGATGCTAGTCATGTATCATGAGACATAACAATAGATCCAAGTTCCATAAGAGTGTGCTATCTAAAGGACATCATAGCTATCATAGTTTGTGTAGTTATACTCTACAGGGTTTGCATAACCATGAATTCCCTAGTGACATGTTTCTCAGAATGTATCCTGTCATTATAGAATGCATGACTGCATAGTCATTATCCACCGAGCTATCTACCCTGATAGGTTTGTAAACTAAATATTACCTGCATTTCCCCTCTCAGAAGTATCTCAGGTCTCATATTATGTTTGACCATAACCCTAGATTCACTATCTTATCATTCATTTATATTCTAACATACATTGAATTCTTCTTGTTGGCTACATTAACAAACTGAATTAATAATCTTTACTGTACTCCAAAGCCATGAAATGATGCAATGATATAGAGGCTCCAATGAGTATTTTTCCTAAACTTTGTTCATGATATACCATAACAGGTACATATAATGTATTGCTTTTATTTTTACTTTTAAATAATTTTGAGGTGATCAATTCCAGGGCCCTGCACATGAGCTACCACTCGCTGAGCTATATTCTCCAGCCTCTAAAATATCTTTTAAAATTTTGTAAAAATCATGAAAATTATTTTCAAGGGATCAGATATTACTCTCTAGAAAGAGAAAAATATAAATTACAAACTTGATTCTGCCACTATTATTGCCTAGTTCTGTGTCCTTGAACAAGTCTATAAGGGTTAAATTAGATGGTACATGCAATGCATTTCATGTCTTATCTTCATTACTTTTTTTCCCAGCTGAGCATACTGAAAATTAGACAGTTAGGTACTTTACCTAGAGACAAGAAACCTGTAAGAGACAGAAGTGGGTTGGCATAGTGTTAAATACACATAAAGTTTTCAGCAAATGTCTATTGAAGGAATAACCTAACATCAGGCAATAGATGCTTAACAATTTACTCCAAATACCATTATATTCCCTGTCGCTTCCTTTGTTAACTAGAAATAATCTTATTTGGCATTTACAAAACCAAAAAATGTGAATAGTTGAATTTTAATGGGCATATCTTTTACTTTAAAGACAAAAAAATAAAACGATCTAGGATCAGAGACTTTTAAAGCAATTCCCAAAGATGTAGCCAAAGTTATAGTACATATTTTGACTACCAATTCCCACACCTCTTACCAGCAGTAGCATCTTCCATTTGCAACAAAATACATAATACCTTGTTGGAAATGGGGCAAGGGTAGAGAAAGCCCAAGTGTTCTTTTTCCTCATTACTCTGCTATTAAGCAAACTAGGGCAATCTAGTGAATTTCCTTTTCAGGACAAAGGAGAATATTTGTTTTTGCTTGATAGTAGAGGCTTGACTGATGGACAGTCACCCAAAATTCAACCGAGGTTTTACACATCCTACTTTAAAAGTTTTCAAAGCTATTAAATAAAAGGCTTTTGAACCACTACTTGAACCATTAATGACAAACAGGCTGTCATTTTTGAACACAGGTATTCTGTGTATGTAGTTTGTCACCACTGGTTCTCAACAGATAAATGTGTATTCAAGTTGCCCATCAAGATCATATTTTGTTTTCCACTTGCACAACCATAATATAATTCTACTTCACTTTCCTACAGTATTTTTTAGATTAGTATTTGTAGACCTTTTTCTCCACAATGGCTTCACTCTTTTGACTTTAAATTACAGTTAAGGCAGAATAAGAGATGGCTGAGTAGCTAATTTGCACCTCTGAAGTTCTCCATGTAAGACTGCATAATTCTCTCACCAAGTCTGCTTTCCCTTGGGATTGTTGTCATAATCACAATGTTACTCCCCAGTTATGCAGTTGACAAAAATTAACCTGGCAGTAGTAAACAGACTGGATTTGAAAGGTGGTGGTCATGATGTGAATATAAACCAGGCAAACTAAAGAGGGCCTTGAATTAGGATGGTGACAGTGACAACAAGGAAGGGGTTGATGCAAGACACTGTATAGACAACATAGATTTGATTCAGTTGCAGAAGCGGATGTGGATAAAAAGAATAAAACATGACAAAGTTTTGAGCTTTAGACAGCCGGGTTCAAATTCTGGTTTTAATAGTTTGGGGCAGATACAGCCCCCACTTAATACTTTTGTGATCTTGCAATTTATCTAAACCTCAGTTTCATCTTCCGTACAACAGGGGACAGTACCTACCCAATGCAAAGGCTCTAGTAAAAGCAAAACGCTGGGCCTAGTGCCCAGTATGCAGTAGGCAGCACACGGATGGGAGGGGGGAGGGTGACTTCAGTATGCACAGTAGGCGGGGGTGCAATCTTCTACACACACCTCCACCCAAAGGGGTTTTGTTGGAGTCTGATAATTTTACAAACAACCTACTCCCCTTGGGAGGATTTTGGTAGCTCATGGCGCCGGGCTGTAAACTGCCGAATGCACCTCGATGCCCAGGGCAGCCAGGCTTCTTGTTTTCTACTTCAGGTTCCTTGAATAATCTAAGACGGCTGGGACCACAGTACAGACTCTGACCTAACTTCCACTCTCGTGAAGGATCAGCCAGGCCCTATCAACTCTATAGATCGGGAAGAAAGTGCCAGAAAAATCATGGCCTCACCTGCTCTGACCTGGGACTGTGTAGGGGCGCTTACCTCAGCCTCCTTAGCTATTAATAATGTGGTCCTGACTGTCCTCCGTCATGTACACCTGGCTAAGAGGCAGGAAGGGAATGTGCAAAGAGAGGGGAGGGGTGCTATTGTGGCAGCTCAGCACACCGCGGCCGTGCCAAGTCTGGAGCCATCGGCCTGACCCAGCTGCCCCACAGGTTATTTCCCCTGCCATTCCTCAGGGTCGCCTCGGCTGGGGAGGCAGGTGTGCGCACCGGCGTCCTGTGCCTTTCCCCTCGAGCAAAGTGAGGCCTGTTTATGGGCACGCCATGCGCTCTAATAAAACAGTCATTTCCGCCCGTGGATGCAGAGTCCCGGGCTAGGTTCACGCCCACGTTGAGGGGCGACGAACCTGAGGCCTGAGGGAGGCAGCCAGAGAACTCTAGTGATCCTTCAGGACACCAGCCAGTGAGGCAGGCGGGAACCATGGCAACTCAGTGGGCGCGGGCGGGGCGGGCGCGCCGGATTATGACGTAAGCAGCGGCGCTCCGCGCTCTCCCGTGACCGCAGGCGCAACCTCTGGGTTCGCAACGGCAGCAACGGCTGAGGCAGGCGGGATCGGCACTGGAAGGAGGAGGAGCCCGACCCTAGCCGGAAACACCGACGCCTCGAGGCCTCCCGGGAGCTGCCGCGCTGCTGGTGCCGCCGCCTGCTCAGCTCGTGGAACGCGAGCGGGCGGCGGGCGGGCGGGGACTCCGCACAGGAGGCGGGCGGGGGCGGAGCCGCTCTCCTCAGCGCCGGCCCCGGGCCTGCCCCGTGCCGCTCTGCCCGGTCCGCCCAGCCCTGTGTGGCAGCGGCTCTCGGCGGCGGTGGGGCCCCCGCAGCAGCAGGTGCGGATGGCCCAGCAGCAAGTCTGGGCGGCGCTCGAAGTGGCGCTCCGAGTGCCCTGCCTCTACATCATCGACGCCATCTTCAACTCCTACTACGATTCCAGCCAAAGCCGGTTCTGCATCCTGCTCCAGGTCTTCCTCCGGCTCCTCGGTAAGCACGGTGGGGCAGCCCGCGGGCCTGGGCGTGCGGGGCCCGGGCGGACAGGCGCCTTCGAGAAGCGCGGCCTGATTCCTTCCGAGGGGCCTTTGGCAGGTGCGGGAGCGAAGGTCCTAGTGTCCGCGTTGACAGCCGAGCGGGTCTCCAGCAGCTCGGCGCCGGGTTCGGAGTGGCACTAACTGCGGTGGGTGAGGAGAAAGCGTGCCTGTGTGAGCATGCGGTGCGCTGCCTGCTGTGCTGCGTCTCTTGGGGACTGGCTGCTGGCTCACGGCGTCCTATGCGACAGCCCTGGAAAAACAGCCACCGCGTCCCGGTCTAGCCCTGTGTGTGTAACCTTGGACTTGGGCCAAAGCTGGAACCCCAGTTCTCCCTTTCCACAGTGCAGAGTATGTTGTCACATCTGTGGTCTTGGAGTCCACCGGATCGTGAAGGGTTTGAGGGAAATGACATCCAAGGGCTTTGAAAGTCAGACCTTGAAACCATTACGAAAAGTCATCGAAGAAGGTTATACTTCTAACGAGCCCTGAAATGTTTCCATGAGTAAATCTGAAGGTATCGAATTATGGCTATGAAAACTTGTCTCCAGAGAGATGAGACATTTGCAGAAGGCTTCTGAAAATCAGTTTTGGTTATGTATTAAAAGCATCCTATATTTCACTTTCCATTTTTCCACCTAGTCACCATATTGAGGCAGATTTATGTGTAAACGGATTTTTTTTCTAGTAATTATAACTTGAAAAATTTTGTTGATGAGGTGATTCTTAGGATCAGTTTTTAAGTGGCTTCCTGTTTTTCAAGTGTTGCTGAGGGCAGGCTGACAGATCCCTACAAGCCCGTCAGTACAAACCATCTGTTGCTTTAGAGAAGGAGTGATTGTAAAGCTTGAATTTTGTTGATAGCAATAACAATATTTTACATTTGCTACTTTACTTTTAGCAGAGCATTTTCACAGGTTTTATCTCTCAGACATTCCTCAGAGGTGGTGATGACATAGAAGTGAAGTGTTTTGCTCTTGGTACACAGCTGGTTAAGTGGTTGCCAGAGCCTAGGCTTGAAACTCTTTTGACATAAAGTATGATTTACTTTCCTCCTCAGTATATTGAAATACAGAGAATGGTGTAATGACCATCAAATGCTCATCCTAAAATGATCTTTTTTTAAAAAATATGGGCATGATTCTTTAAGCACAGGACTTCTGACTATCTACTAGGTGCCCAGTTTCAGCCATTCCTACTTCTCGCCAGGAAAGTATACTACCAGCATCATCTGTGGTAAATAAAATTCGGGCTGTATCGAGAGGATTCTGCATATTCCTTCCAGAGATAGTGTAGCTACTGCCTTGAATGTCCTTATGACACAGTAACTGCAGATTCTGGGAGCCCCTTGGGGACCTGGTGATTAAACGCAGTGCTCTATTGAGTACCTAATGCTAGGCAGATTCAAGGAAAACCATTTTTCTTTAAATCATTTGTAGTATAAAAACATTTAAGAAAGTAATTGTTCTCTCCCCTACCCCCATACTCTCCTTATTTTTGTCATCATAGAAGTTTGTATTTGATGATTTAAGAACTTCACCACTGGTGAGCCACTTAATTGCTCAGTGTCTGGTTTGCTGTCTTTACTTTTATAAAGGTGGACAGTGATAGTATTGTTGACAAAAAAACACAACTCTCACCTCAAAAGGCAAAAGGCATAGTTTTATTCTGCTACTAAATATGAGTGACCATAACTCAAGAACATAGATTTAGGTTACCCTAAATTCCATGTTCCAGTCTCGTAGCAGTTCAGTGAAATTTTTATAGTGACAGAATGAAGGAAGTCACAAATCAAGTGCTTCTTAAATACATTGTAGAAACATTAAGTAGGTAGGTTCAAGCAAAGCAGAGAAACTTTGCTCTTCTCTCTGATCATATTCTCTTAGCTTTTTGGTTTGTGAAAACTAGTGTTTTGTTAATACATTCCAAAAGGTTTTTATCTCTTAGTCACCACAAGATATTGAGTCTTCACTGATAAGGAAAGGAAGGCTGTTTAAGGGGTCAATGAACCTGCATCATTCCAACCTGATTAGTTCCAAATGTTCTGATCATTCCAAAATGATTAGTTCTTCTAATCATTTAACCAGCCTTGCAGAAAGTTCAGTTTGCAGGTGCAGCTTCTTCCTGGGAACTTTCCCAAAGGATTCTAAAGTATCCTTGTCATAGGGTTTAGGACATTTAATGAGTTGGGATATAACTTTAACTTAATACAGCACCTGGCTGTTTATGTGTTAATTATTAGTATGATCTCTTTTAAAAAAAATTTTTTTTCAAAAAATAGTTTAATGCTTCACATAAGACCATACTTTTGTTACAGATATTTCATTCTTTTGAAGTCATTACCAAATGTTTATTTGAAAATTCTTATCACAGAATATTCCAAGTCAGACTTTATGAGAAGTAAAAAATTCATTTCCAAGTTTATCATCTGACTATTCCCTAAATTTTGCCAGAGTAGTTGTGATTCTTCATGTTTCTAAAACTATGAATGAAATTTTGTTTTCATTTTTTTTAATCACAAGAACTAAGCAAATAGTGACGTGTGTCAGAGATTTGAGTAGATAGTTGGAATTCCACATCTTTTTTTAAAGATTTATTTTTATTTTTAATCATGTTCTAGTTTGCTTTCAATTGCTGTGACAAAACACTTATACCAATGTGAGGAGCATTGGATTTATTGGCTATTTGGCTCACATCTCCCAGGTCACAGTTCATCAGGGAGCCCAAGGTAGAAACTCACAGCTGGAACCTGGAGGCAGGAGCTGAAGCACAGGTCATGGAGGAACGCTGCTTACTGGCTTGGTCCCCTGGCCCATGCTCAGCCTGCTTTCTTATACAATACAGAACAACCTACCTGGGGGTGGCACCACCCACATTGGGCTGGGCCCTCCCACATCATTCAGAAATCAAGAAAATACCCCCACAGATATGGCCATAGGCCAGTCCTTTGGAGGCAATTTCCCAATCGAGGCTCCCTCTACTCAGGTATGCCAAGTTGATAACTAAAGCTATCCAACACACATGTGTTTATATATGTGTACCAGTACTGGAGCCCACAGAGGCCAGAAGTGTTGGATCCTCCGAAGCTGAAACTAGCCACCTGACATGAGTTCAGAGAATTAAACTCATCCTCAGGAAGAATAGTACATACATTTAACCACCGAGCAATCTCTCCAGTTCCCAGTTTTTAATAGTGTGGACTTCTCAGAATTGCTGCCTGTAAGTCTCAGTATTTGCCACCTTGACCCTTTTCAAACATTATCAGTTTTCTATGTTAAGCGTTTGCAGCATTTACCTCCCTCTCCTACAGAAATGGTGTGGTGCAACAACTACACTTCCACTTGGTATCAAACTAATTTGAGATTTTAACAGGTCACAAAGTAAAGCCCAATTTTAGAAATCGAAATAAAACCATATGAGATACACTATTTGAAAACATAAAGCTATATCTTTGGAAGTGTTCAAATGCTAAATGAAACTCAACCCACAGCAGCATAATGCTGAATTAGCAAATTTAAATCCGAAACAGAAAATGTAAGCATAGGAACTAGTTTTAATACTATTACTCATATGGCAATAAATTGTTGAACTGGCAAAGGATTTTCTAAAAAGTCAGAAATTACAAGGGGAAAATTTGTTAAATTTGAGTACATAAAAATAAAAAAGGCTTCTTTATGGCAAAACCTTTCAAAAATCCTTTAAAATGGGGGCTGGAGAAACAGCTCAGCAGTTAAGAGCACTTGATGCCTGGATTCAGTTCCCAGCACCTACATGGCAGCTAACAGCTGTTTATAATCCAGTTCCAGGAGTTCCAGTGCCCTCTTTTGGCCTCCGTGGATATTGCATGCACATGGTGCACTTACATACATGCAGGCAAAACACATACACATAAAATGAAACTATTTAAAAAAAATTTTAAATATATTTTATTGTTTTTATTTTATGTGTATTGAGTGTATTGCCTGCATGTATGTGAGTGCACCTGTGTCATGCCGTGCTGTGGAGGTCAGAGGAGGGCATTGGATTCCCCTGGAACTGGAGTTAAGGATGGTTCGTAGTCATGTGGGTGCTGGGAATCGAACCTGGGTCCTCTGCAAGAGCAGTCAGTGCTCTTAACCACTGAGCCATCTCTCCAGCCCCCTAAAATTTTTTTAATCCTTAAAAATGACAAACTGAGGGGAAAATGCTTACATCATGTATGGTAAGTTCTTGTAAGAGTTTTACATAACCTTAAAAAAAAAACCTATGTTCCCATACTAAAGTGGGCGCTTTCCAATAAACAAAATTCAGATGGCAAATAAGAGAAACAAACAAGGACTTAATCTCATTTATAATGAAAGAAATACAGTTAGTTTACCTATTAGATTGATGAAGAGTTCAGAGTGTGAATAAAAAGTACTTTGGTAAAGGCATTTACCTATTTGAAATAGGTAAATTTGTACAGTTTGGTGAGCTATAACTTCACTATAAACTATTTGGCATTATCAGCTGATTCTGATTGATCGAATGAGCAGCAGGGTCTCATGTAGCCTAGCCTGGCCCCAAACTGAGGATGACCTTGAACTTTTGATTCTTGTCTCCACTTCAGGACTGATGAGATTAAAGCATGTGCTACTGTACTTGGTTTTATAAAGTGCCAGGGATTGAACTAAGATTTCCAGAGTGCTAGATAGGCAAGCACTCTGCCATGTGAGCTATATCTCTAGTCTTCAAGTGATTATTTGCTGTATACCTTTTTGACTCATAGTTTCAGCTCTAGAATGGGACTCAGCCTAGAGAATGTAGTTATACAACACTCTGAGCAAGGATACTCATTACAGCATTATTGGAAGTAACAAAATGGCAAACTTTACACTTAATCAAAATATGTATTAGATGAGAATATGTTCATTGTAAAAGAATGAGAATTTTTCGTTACTGAATGAGATACTTGATGCTGTAGAAAGACCTGTGGTTATA